GTGGTTCCAGTCCTCCATCCTTTGTAGGTCTTCCGTTTAAGACACAGGAGGTCCGCTAGTTCCCTGGAGAGCCAAGGGGCTGCTGTGCCCTCTTGCTGCCTTTCCTCCGAGACGGGATGGACTTTGCTTGCGCATCCAGGATCGCTCCCTTGAGGAGCAGCCACTCTTCCTGAACTCCCCTGCCCTTGGGGTTGTGGCCCTTCAGGGCCTCCCTGACAAGCCTCCTTGGTTAGTCTTGTTAGTTTTCAACGCGTCCCCTGCCAATCTCGGGAAGTTGGTTCTAGCGTTCTGGGAAGTGATGAGCAGTTCCCTGTTTTTGTTCGCACTCTTCGTGCTGCTGTCGCCCTCTCTGGCACCCCTCATCCGTCTGCTTTCCCAGCTGAAGAGGCCAAGCCTTTTCGGTCTCCTGCTGACTCTTCTCTCATCTCTAATCCAACTTGGGCTTGGCAACGTCCGACTCGAGCCCCTTGCAGCCTCATGGCATCTCCGGGCCCAGCTGGTGCCCAAGCCTCCGACCTGCAGGGTGATTCAGGCGCCTCGGAGAGCAGTGCAGACAGAAGCCAGCAGCCTGCGTGGGGGGTTCATGGGGTGCTGGGAGGTCAGGCGGACTCCCCTCTTCCCCAGTAATCGTTCTGGATGACTCGGGGCTGGGGCTGGGGCTGGGCTCGGCAGGCTCCCGCAGGCCCTTGCACGCTGTCTCGGTTGGACCCACGAGCGGGCTCCGGGGGGAGGCACTTGTCTCTGAACCAACTCGGCTACGACTCCTCTGCCAGCACCAGGTCCCTCCCCAGTCAGGGTGCTGCCCTGGGAATGGGCGTGAGCTCAGGCGTCCCATATCCCAGACGTGTGCCACACCGCCTACCACACCAGGGACTCGGCCTCTGGACTGACAGATCTCTTGTACGAAGCGATGCTGTTGGCCTGGCGCTGGGGGGACTCTTGGGCCGGGGCTGCAGAGATGCACTGAAGCCCCAACCCTGGCTGCCTCTGGGGCAAGGAGGGAGCTCCTCCCTGCTCAGGCCCCCCTGGTGACCCGGGGCAGCCACGGCCTCCAGCCTGCTGCCGACAACCATGAGGGGCCAGGCTTTTTGCACTTGCCCTCTCCGGGGCTTTGTTGACTCGGCAAACCTGGCTCATATGCCCCAACTGGCAGTCCCTGGCCCAGATCCCTCGTGGCTTTGGGGCGGGGAGCTGGCAGGTGGACGTAGCAGCTGTGGACAGCAGACTGCAGCTCCGTTGGGACCGTGCCAGGTCAGTGCATGGAGGCTCTTGTGCGTCATGGCCTCAGTAGAGCGTGCCCGGGGCATGGGGCAGCTGATCTCCGTGTCTGGTTCACGTCCGGCTCCAGCTGGCATCAGAGAGAGGCTCGGTTCCACATGGAGCAGAGCGCCAGTGACCTCGGCAGCTTGTCTGCCACAGGGACCGCGGGTGATTCGGTGACAGGAGGGGGCCCGGGGATTGCCACACAGAACGGGCACGGGGGAAGCGCGTTGCAGTCACTGACGGCAGCCTCCTTCCCTGCACGGAGCCTGGTTGCTGCAGAGCTGTTCTCAGCAGCTCCTGCGTGACCCTCGGCCTGGCCCTGATGCAATCCTTCCCCTTCCCAGGGTGAAAGAGCTCAGCCCTCACAATGGAGGCGCCGGCGAGATGCAGACCCACATGGAGACAGAGAGCGAGGAGGCAGAGATCAGCGAGGAAGGGTCAGGCCCGCAACTTGAGGTACATGGCTGGCAGGGGAGGAGCCGCCTGGGTTTGGTGCAGGGTGAATGATGTCTCTGGGCTCACCTGGGTCTGCTCTCCCTCCCCCCAAACAGCACCTGGGCAAGGACGAAGAGGAGCTCTCTCCCCACATGTCCAGCTTCTGCTACGCCATGACGCAGATCAGCGAGCTGGAGGAGAAGGCCGTGGAGGAGCTCCGGGAGCTGAGACAGGTGAGGGGAGGGGTGCGCTGCCGATAACGATAAGCAGGCGGGGCGGCCTGGGAGCCGGGGTGGGGATGGACCCTGGGCAACGTGTTGGACGATGCCCAGCCCTTTCTCTTACCCGTTACTTTTCACATCAACCGATTTGTGTTGACACCAAGACGCTGCAAACTTGGGGCACAGCCCAGTGGTTCTCAGCGTCGTTAAGGCCCCTGCGCACGTGCACACACCCTGCTTCTCAGAGCGCCAGTTCTGAGCCTGCACGCACACGTGCACCCTACTTCTTGTGTTGTGAGCAGCAGCTGTCCTGAGCTGGCTGTTTAGATGTACGTGGTCTCAAAACGGTTCAGCTTGGCCATATCTCCCGCGTTGTGACCTGGGGGAGCAGGGTTCTAGCTGGAGCCGGCTGGCTGCACTTAGGGCTCGGAACAAGCGGCTCGGAGCGCTGCCCTTTGGCTTGCCCTTGCTGCCGGTGCTGCCCTTGGCCCCAAACTGCTCGTCAGCATCACAGGCGACGGCCGCGTTAACACCTGTCCCTCTCCTTACACCTCGCTCCCGAACGCAGAAAATGACCCATTGCGACGACCTGCTGGAAATGACGGAGCAGCCAGACTACGACCTGGAGACTTTTGTCAGCCAAGCCGTGTGCCTGCTGAAGGAGGAGACGAGGCGTGCCTTCGGGATCCTAGGTACGGGTGCCCTTCCAGATGCCCCCTGCTCCCTTCTGCACGTCCCGGGGCTGGCAGGAGGGCTGGGTGGGGGCAGTCTGGGCTGAAGGCAGCGTCCAGGCGCCTGCAGTGACCAGTGGGATTCTCGCCGGCATCTCTTACTCGTTCGTGGAGTGCTGCAGAGAAAGGGGAGTGGTGCTTGGAGACCCCTGGCTCCCAGCACAGCCAGCCCAGTGCGGGGGCTGGAAGCATCCCAGCTCGCCGGCTGCACAGCCTGTGCCTGGCCCATGGCAGAGCTCAGTGGGGGAATCTGCCTCCCTCTGACACGATGCAGGAGGGAGAGAGCAAGGAGTTGTCGCCACCTCTGGCAGCCGCGGGGCTTTCCCGACTGCTGCCCAAGCTGGAGTCGGGGCTCCTGATCTACCGCAGCTGAGAACTTAACAACTTTCTCCCCCCCTTTGCAGACACGCTGGAGTCCCTGCAGCTCGCCATGCAGATGGAGGAGCAGGCCAGCCAGCAGATGAGCAAGAGGAAGCCGCAGTAAACGTATCGGCCCCTGGTTCACTAGCAAAGCCCTTGTCTGTGTGTCTGTCACTGATTTTGGCGTTTCTCCCTCAGCTGGGACACCCAGTGTCTCCGGGGTTGTCCCCTAGCAAGGCACCATGGCGGCCCCGTGCCAAGCTGCGCTGTCTCCGGCCCCTTTAGCAGGCACCGCTCTCGAGAGCCCTGGGAGCGGGGAGGGCTGGCAGGGGGAGCTGCCTCCTCCTCGAGCGCGTCGCGGTGCGGCCAGGTCGGCGCCCCACAGAATCGTTTAGGCTTCCTGCCACATTTTAATGTTGCGTAGCCACAAGGCTCTGCATGATCATTGGGGGTGGGGGGGAGGGGAGGGGAGGAAAATCAGCATTTTCTTAAGCTTGTTTAAAATAAATAAATGTTTTGGCCTTACCGCAGCGTCTCCGAGCGGTTCTTGGCAGCTTCGCTCGCCTGTGCTCCCTTGTTTGGTCACTGCAGGAGATGTCTCTGGTGGAAACCCGACATAGCCCAGCTGTGCCACCTGCCCACGGGCACCTCCAGGCTGCCTGGTGCTGCGCTGGCACCTTGCCCGTGCCAGGGGTGGCCCTGAGCTGTCCTCACGCAGGGCCTGGTTCCAGCTGCTCTTCCTGCAGCAGCTGTGGGTGCTCTCCTCGTCTGTGGCCCCAGGAAGGTCCAAACCCTTACCCTGCTGCATTTCCCTGCCTGTTGCCAGCTTTGCTGCCAGCACCAGCTGATCCTCTTGGTCCCTGAGCCTCCTTCCCTGCATAATCTCTGCTAAAAGCCGCGATGACCTATCCACCTCTCCTGCTCCCCTTTTCAGTCTCCGCCTGTCCTCTGCCACCAGCACACGGCTGAAGTCCCCAGCTAGGAGCAAGGGGCCTCCAGCAGGCCGTCCCTTCCCGAACTGCGCCGGTGACTCGCAGGGTTTCTCCTTCTGAGGAGGAGCGTGTGCCTTCACGATGCTCTTCTCCTTTCCCAGCTCACCTGCAGTACATCCCGCAGCGATACCAGTCCCACCAGCTCTTCGGGTTTTACCTCTAATTGTTTTGCAGCAGTGGGTGGCTGAAGTCCAGTTGCAGCATATATTCAAGTTCATTGCCTCTGCCTGAAATGGCATCCTTGCGGACACGTGCACGAGCAGCTGGCACGTATCGGTCATCCTGTCGGCTCTCACCCCATCTCCTGTCCCTTGCCAAATCCTTCCTTGACCCCCCAGGCAGAATTAGAGCTCGCTAACAAAGTCCAAGCTCTCCGCCCAAAGTCAAAACTCTAAAGGTGAAAGAGTCATGTGAGATGAAGAGAAGCCAGAGCATGGGCTTGACCCTGGCATGGCTTCAGGCAGGGGAGAAGCATCTGCTCATGAGGTGAAGGTGACTGGACAGCACCGGTGGCAGACTGCATGTCTTGGGCACCATAAAGCCCCTGTGGAAGGGACTCGTGTCCACGATATAGTTAAAAATTGTTAATCGCCACTAATCACTTGTTAGAGCAGCCAGGGTGCCACTGACCTGAGCTTCCCCCCATGCCCGTGTTTCCCTTTGGGGGGCTGCTACATCCTTGCACTTCTCCAAGGTGGCACCGCCGGAGCAAAAGCCTGTGCTCAGGGCTTTGCAACCAGCAGTGCTCAGTTTCCACCCACCCTGGCTTGAGTGCCTCATCCTGCCCGGGCCTGTCTGCCCCGGGTGCTGTCGGGGCAACGCACAAGTTGCAGGGAAGCCGCGTGAGCACCGTGGATCCCAGTGGGAGACAGTGAGCAGGTCACAGCACTGAGCTTGCACGCTCTGCTGTGAACGGCGCATGCAGACACGCATTTCATCAGCAAGAGATTAAACTGCATCTATAGCTGTAGTAACAAAGCATCTATTTTAATGCACACAAAGGCGGATCAGCTGAAACAGGATCTCAGAAAATTGGTTGAGAACTCCTCACCGCTTCTCCCCATGGAAATTTTTAGTAAAAGGTGAAAGATTTATACAAACTGAAAAGCCAAAGCCTGCTCCCTGCGCTGGGGAGATGCTGCCATGACCGCTGCCATGACCTGATTCTCCCTCTCCTCTCCCCTGGGATTTCTCCCCCTGCCCTAGCGCAGTCCAAGAACTGGCTCTGCCATCCCTTTGGGGCAGGGAGGATGCCTGGCTGCGTAGTTCATAAGTCAGAGATGTTTGCAAGGACCAAACCTGCAAGATGTTCTGAGATTCAGCCTGAAGGAAGCAGGGGGGCTGGGGCGTGGGAAGCGCAGAGCTGGAGGGTTGGGGGTGGCGGGGGCTGAGCAGGACTGGTCCAGGTCTCTGGTTTGCTCATTCCTAGGCTTCTGAAAGACCAAAAGAGCCCCGTGAGGCCCAAGGTGCATGTAACCCCTCCAAGCCCTTCTACAAGTCAGGGCATCCACCCCTGCCCCGGATCCTGCCTGGCTCTGGGTCTGACCCCTTCTCCCTTGCGCTGGTTGGGATCCATCCAGAAGAAAGGACTGAGTGCAGGTTTGCACCTGCGTAAAGGGGAGGGAGTTCGGCCCTGATATCTAGGAGGACTGGGGTCGGCTTTGGCGCAAGTGACCCTGTGCCTCCCCACGCACCTTCCTTCTGCTGCGTCCTTTCCAGGCATAGCAGGCTCCCTGGGATGTCCACTTTGTTGGATACCAGGATGTCGGTCTGCACCGCATCCATGTTCATGTACAAGCTCTTGGGATCTCCCTAGGACAAAGAGCAGAGGCAGAGGTGAGAGGAACCAGCCAGGCCACAGGATAGGCAGGGCAGGAGGGGTAATGCCCCGGTAAAAGCAGCCTTGAAAAGCCAGAAGCCAGAGGGTGCCGTGACGAAGCAGCCGTCGAGTGTTTTACCTATGGCGCTGCACTGCGCGTGTGCGTAGCACAGAGCTCTTGAGCACAACTGATTGTGAGCAGAGACATCCAGCTCCAGCTCTCGGCAGACGGCCTGGGGTGCAGCCTGTCCGGGCCCCACAAGCTAAAGGGACCTCAGTGTTGGAGCACGTCACATCACAGCAGTTTAAGAGCTAAGGGCAGGCCAGGAAGCAAGAGATGTTAACGGATCTGGAAGTCAGTGCTGCAGTTTGAGCAGAGAATGGCAAATGCGGGGCCTGTGTGAGAAAGGGGAAGATTGGGTACGTCTGACCCCCGTGGTGTGAGAGCTGGAAGGAAAGGGCAATGAAAGGCATGGAGGTAACGGCCGTGCTCTTGTTCAAGGCACCAGAGGAACAGGCCAGAAGGGCTGGTGCAGAATGAAACCAGCCGGTGCTGGGAGAGGCCTCGCAGGCCCTGTTAGCATTGCTCCCTGCAGGCCATCGCTCTTGGCCTGGCCCTGCCAAGGTCTCAAGGTCCAAACCCAGAGGTTTCTGCCGACTTAGTGTCTGGCTTGAAATCCGGGCAGCCCAGATCTAGCCAGTGGCTTGCACACCCGCCTCCTCCCGGACACCGCAGATCCTGCAGGTCTGACAACCAGGGTCACAGCAGGAGTGAGGGGCCAGACAAGCCTCGGACTGTCTCCATCTGTGCCGGAGACGGGGCCGGAGTCAGGACAAGATGGCCCCAGCTTCAGAACGGAGGCACGGCTCCAGCACAGCACTAACCCCCCGGCCGGAGAAGGAAGGAGTCGGCTAATTGAACACAGGTGAAGACACGCTGGGGTCGAGGTGTCCTTTAATGAGATACCGCGACCTGCCGACATCCTGGGTCTGGCGGAGCGAGAGGGAAGGAGGAAGCTGGAAAGGCTCGGTCCTACTGACTAAAGCAGGACAGTTTTCAAAGCGTGAACGTCTTGAGTCTCCAGTGCCTCTTTCCCCGGCGCAGGCACAAAAACAAGAGCATTACCCCTGTCCCCACGCTTGTGCAGGTTCAGATCCAGGAGCCGGATCTGTTGTGACTTCACGGGGACGCCCCGTCCACCTCGGCCCTGCAAAGGGACACCCCTGTTCTCTCCTGCTTCTTTCCCCATTTGTTTTCTGGGTTTTGAGTGGGATGAGTCCGTGCAGGGGCAGTTGGCTTTTTGCTGCTCCGTCCAGGCCCGGTGAAATAGGCCTGGGCTTTCTTCTGCCCCTTTTTCAGTTCGTGCCCCAACCAAGTGCTGTGGTTGGGCGCGAGTTCGAATTCAAGGCCAAGCCAAAACAGGCCTGGTTCCCCTTTTGTTGTTTCTGAGCTGTTAGGTCTCAGCCTAGCCGTGTAGCCTGACTATATGTCCAGGTCACCGCCTCATAGGCCTGGTGCTCTTTTGTTGTATGTCCAGAACTGCCGTCCACCCCTCAAATCCACCATGCGGAAGTGAGGATCAGTGCTACGGTTTCGCAGGGAGCGACGCGGGGCCCTTTGCAGCGCGGAAGGACCCAGGATCTCTAGCAGCTCCCTGCGGCACAGCGACCCACGGAGCAGCTCGTTGGACTTCCCGGTGTGGCCCCTGCTCAGAACTGCCCTGTGGGGAGTCTCAAGTCCCAGCCGGCCTGGGCGCGGGTAAAGACCCCCCCATGGAGGGTACCACCTCTAGACTCTGTTTTGTAGTCTGTAGTGTTTTAACATTATAGTTAGTGATAGCTTTTGTTTTTTCTTTATGCTTTGTAATACAGCTGAGTGTTGTGTTCACACTGCTGTGCGAGAACGGGGTTGTTGGTTTTACTGGACACCCTAGTGATTTATCTAGTGTTTCCCAGGTAGACTGGGTGGGGCTCGAGCCAAGGGAAAATATATTTAGTATCCCCAAAATTGAACCTGGCCCTTGTTGCTCTGACACATGCTCAGCAGAAGGATTACATATATATATATATATATACACACACACACGCACATGGCATCCCACAGACACTCTGGAGTGAAGTGGATTTACCATGAAGAGCTGGAACAGGGGCTCTCCTATCGCCTTCCGCACGTGCTCCTCCACAACGGGAAATGTCTGGACAAAGTGCTGCAACAGAAGAGCTGCGGTAAGTGACTGCACGGGGGAGACGGGGCATCGTCTGGCTCCACTCAAAGCCAGCCCCTTCACAGGGTGACAGTGTACCTCGGGGGAAGAGGAATAAGGGGCTTTTGGAGCTATCTTTTATTGGGTGACCCATAACTGTAGCGCCAGGTCGTGAGTCGTAGGCAAACGCTGGAGTGGGGAGGGACAGGCTCTTCCCGACGCACCAGCGGCAGGGCAGACAGCAGCCTAGTTACACATCTGAATCAGGGTCCACTTGGCATCTCTGTGGCAGAGTGAGCGCAAGGTGGGCAAGCAGTGGCCTTGCTTCCTGCAAGCCCCGGGAAAGCCTTGACCGTTCCAGCTCCTCCTGCCACAAAGGGCATCCCCCTGCTCAGCAGAGCCCCATTACAGACCCTTCCTGCACAGGAGACGCTCACTCACCGCCAGAGTGATGCTGGCCTGTCGCTGGCCGGTGGCGTGATCCTGGTTTCCCATGGCGCACATGAGGCCGTGCACCACTCTCAGCTGGACCAGTTCTTTGGCCAGGTCGGTCGAGCTCTTGGCTAGGACGCTGCGAGGAAGCCAGCCCAGTCAGACCCCAAAGTCCTTCCACGTGGAAGCTTGCTGGGGGGTGACATGAAAGAGCTGCCTCTAGCAGAGGCTGCGCAGGCACTTGCTGCCCAGGGCACAGCCCCTGCCTGTGGCACCTGTGGCTTGGCATCCCCTCCCATCAGTCTGCATCATTCCTCACTTGTCCCCAAGAGCTCAGCTATCCACTCGGTTTCCCAGCAAATGGGCCTGGATAACTGGGAGCGCGCTACAGACATCTGCCACTAAGACCTAGCATTGCCTTCCCATCTCGGGCATCAGGTCCTACAGGCAACCACGTCGCCGCCAGTCCCCCGGAAGAGCCCACCTCGGCGTCTCAATGTGCTCTGCCATGCTCCGGTTGTGTGTGGCTCTGACGTCTCTTACCCGATGGCCTTTGCTGCAGCAGCCTGCTGTACGTACACCGGCAAGGACTCGGTGAGGTCAAACGTGGTAGGATCTGCACGAGAGAACATTTGACAGGGAGGAAACTGTCTGGAAGCACAAATCTGCCAGTAAGTGTGAGCAGTACCCTGGGGAACGAGACCAGCAGCACTGGGGGGGAAAGGGGATACGTGGGCTTAAAGCAATGTGCCTAAAGAAATCTCAACATGAATGTACTTGAGACCCTCACCCTGATGTATCTATGTGTGTCTACACATGCACATTTACTCCGCAGTAACTGAAAGTACTACGCAGTCCAGGCACACATCCACGCCCGCACTGCGCAGTAAATATGGTGACTTATGCTGACGTGAGCGTAAATTGGTATGTCTCACGCATTCTTTCTCTCATCAACCCACTGGTCCCCTGAGCCAAGGTTTTGGGGTAACACAAGGGCTGCTACATCCTGTTGGGGAAGGGGGAGCAGCTGCCAGTGTCTCACCCAGCCTGGACATCAAGTGAAGCATCGAACCCCTGCAGAGGAGCGAAGGGGTGGGTTTGCAAGGCCGGGTTGGTGATTGAGGAGGAAAAGGTCCTGAAGTCGGTTCTCACGTGATCCGTCAGTGGCCTGAGCAAGTCCAGAAGCTGACACCCGGTTCCCCTCCAGCCCACCCCACCCCCAGGTCCGGTGCAAAGAGAGATTGCTCTGATCTTTTACCTCCCAGGGTTTTTGCTTGTGTCTTAACAGCCTCCCTCCTTGCTGGCTTCAGTAACGCCACCAGGCCCCGCAGCAGCGCTGGACGGACGTCGTAGGAGGTGAGATCCTTTATCAGCTGAATGGCTGCGGAGAGAAGGGACGTAGGGACTTGTACGCACAGTGCTAACTCCCAGGGGAGCCGTCAGACCGCCGCGTCCCCACCTCTCTGGGCTCTGCTGGTTTGGGCACCAGCGCGCTGCGGACCGCCCCTGCTTCTCCCTGTCTGCTCTCACTTAAGACTGATTCTGCTCCAGCCCTTGTCTACAGGCAGGGAGAACCAAGATCTTCCCCGAGCCACCGAGAGGAGAGGCCCATTCAGACATCCCGTAGCTCTGTCAGGACAGGGGGAAGGAGAGGCCGGTAGCCCCAGGCCAGACCTGCCCTAAGTCCTGTGTGCCTGCAGGTCACGGCTGCCCCAGACTGTGGAGCACAGGGAAGCTCGTGGAGACAGGCTAGAACAACAACCGGTCTAATTTGGGGCTCTTCAGCCTGGGATTTGATTCGCATCAAAACAGGTGTGGGATAGTTGTGTACATGAGGCTCAAATGCCATTTACCTGCAATTAGCCAGGATGGTCTGAAGCACAGGACGCTTTGGGGGTACTTAGTGCAGGCAATGCCCTTGCCTATCTGCAGGGGCTGAGCTTGCTGTGAGACATGGCGCTCAAACCGAATCAAACCACTTGTCTGTGGGCACATCTACACTTGCTATTAATGCTGTCTAGGCTTATCACACAGTAAAATATTGTGCAGTAACACTTCCCCCGCTACACACGTGCTAATGCAACTTAGTTATGCCAGCCTAAATTTAATGCACCTTAACGTGCCTTAGCTTGTTTAAATGTAGATGTGCACCTAAATCACGTTAATGTGCCTTAAACAAAGGTGAGTTCCTTTTTTTGGGGGGGAAAAATCTCTCTCTCTATGTATAGAAGTTATTTTTATATATGTATGTATGTATGTATGTATGTATGTATGTATGTACACCTTCTAATACACTTTTCTTCCCATTCTTTAACTCACTCAACAAAAGCCATAAGCCCATTACAATACACACACCCGCGGACCCGCGCTCCCACGCAAAACGCCCGCCGACGCACGTACCTACACATGTAGACATGCTTGCTGTGCAGTAGCTTGGTGCCTCATTGGCCTCATGGTTAGTGCCCACTGATGCTAAGTTGCTGTAGCAATGAGCTACGTCACCATAGCTTGTCGTTATGATGACGTAGCATCTCATGTAGACACACCCAGCATCACTTTACTGCACAGTAGATTAGTCCACTGCGCAGTAAAGCCCCTCATGTCATAGGTGGATTAATGCCCAGGCCAGGTGGGCAGTAGTCCAAGGCCCTTCAGTAAATAGGGGCCTTGGGAGGGAGAGGCATGCATGTGTGCATTGCTCGTGGCCAGGAGCCCCCGACTTGGCTGGCAGAGAACAGGGAGCAGGGCAACTCAGCAGAGCTGTGCAGCCCAGAGCCCACTTGCTGCATGGAGGCAAGTTTGTGGAAGGGAAAAGGGGGCATGGGGTGGGGGCAAATTGAAGCCCCACGGTGAGGGAGGGTGCTGGGGCCGGGGCAGCAGGGGCTAGGAACACGGTGCTGCTCAGCCCCAGCCAGGGGCATGCCTGGGGCAGGGAGCAGGATGCTTGTCCAGGGAACCGGAGCAGGGGCAGGGGGCAGCTCCCTGTTGCTGTGTGCACCCTGGGCCAGGGAAGGCATGGAGGGGGGGCATGTGCCTCCAGATTTGTGCACGGGGCAGAGGCAGGCTGCAGCTGTTTGCTCAGGTCTCTGCCTGCTGCGTTTGCCTGGGCCCTTTGCCAGGCAGGATGTAGGCTCCCAGGGCAAAGGCAACAGACGGTGCAGAGACCCAAGGAAATACTAGTTTCATAGTAGGTTGGGTCAGAAGGGACCTGAGCAGATCATCAAGTCTGACCCCCTGCCCTGGCAGAAAAGAGTGCTGGGGTCAACTGACCCCAGCGAAGTGATTGACTAGCTTCCTTTTGAAGACCCACCGGGTTGGAGTGAGACCCACTTCCCCTGGAAGTGGTTCAAGCAGTTGGGCAAATTATTTTAAAAGCTTCGTATCTGAAGCTAGGCTCCTAAGTGAATGGGGTGCTTTGCATACTTGGAAAATCTTCAGGCCACTTACCTAGATCCCCAAAGTCTTTAAAGCCTGACTTTAGGGTTCTGTATTTTTTAAAAATATAAAACCTTGCAAATAACAACTTTTTGCAACAATTTATTTGGTCTCATAAAAGCTAGCACATCTACCCAAAGAGTCCAGCTACAGGTCAACATTTCCCTCTCTCCACCTTCCCGGATCATCCAGGAACAGCACACAACACCTGCAGACGCTCTCTTTGCCTGAACAAGGGCGTTTGTGCCCAAAAGTTTGCAAAAAAGAATTTTTCCAACTATTTCACCCACTGACTCCTCAATCCACATCTTCACTGACGGCCTGTCTTGCTGCAGCCCAGCCGCTGGCCTCTTTACTCTTCATTCCAGCCAGGAAGAGCACACACCAACGGCAGATGCTTTCTCAGCCGAATGAAGGATTTTTAAACCCGAAAGCTTGGTAAAAATAATTTTTCCAACTATTTAGTTGGTCTAATAAAAGGTATTAGATTCACCGGAAGGGTGTTTAGAAACC